TTTAGTATCGCGCAATATGGTCAGATTTCCTCTAATAATACAATTTCATCCTCGAATAACACCATGCACTACTTATTTGAGTGTCATCTTTAAAATATTGTTTTTGGATTTTTTTTTTTTTCTACGATAAAAAAAAAAGTATAGATTCAAAATATTTTTTTGACATAAAATGTTCTTTTTTTTCTTTCCTCTCCGCTCTTTTGTTCTTTCGGCAAGAACTACCGAAAAATATTATTTTTTTTATGAATTTTAAAGAATTTCTTTAATGCTTTTAGCAGTTATACAGTACATTAAATAAGCTGTCACATAATTTTTAAGAAGATTTTAACTTATAAGTATTTGCAACATCTAAACCAGGGTGGCCAACCCGCGACCCGCCTTGAATATTTTTCCGGCCCGTGAGATGTATCACACTTTTACAAAATATATTTATTTTAGAATGGCCAAAGGAGTGAAAACTAATGTAGTAAAAAAATACATTATGTATGCTATGCTCTATATACTCTAACCCATATAAACTCTATATACTCTAACCCATCTATATACTCTACTCCCATATACTCTAAATTACAAGAAATATGCAAAAGAAATAAGAAAACTTACAGCTGCTTTTGAAAGACGATTCAATAATTTAGAGTTAGACCAATACAATATATTTTGAAATATATTCATCTCCCTTTCATGTTGAAAGGGAGATGAATAGTCGAGAGTCGAGTCGGCTCCAAAATATCTCCAAATGGAACTGGTTGACTTACAATGAAATATTGAATTAAAACACATTTTTGAAATATCAGAATCAAAAATAGGTTTTTATAACACTTACGTCACAAAAGAGAAATTTTCCAATTTAAGAAATCTGGCACAAAAAGTTGTCAGAGCTTTTGCTTCAACTTACACCTGCGAAACTTTTTTTTCGAAAATGAAATTGAGTCAACTCAAAACAAGCTCAAACATAACAGGCACAACCCCAAATTACGATGTACAAATACCGAACTTGAGATCGATTTGCAAAAGCTAAGTGAAAGAGTGGAGAAACAAATATCGCACTAGTAAAATAAATATTTTTGAATGATTTCCTTTATATTCATATATATTTTTTTATATTTCATCTTGAGTGTTATATATTTCTTTACAATGTGTGTTTGGTATCATTATTATGATATTATCCATGTTTACATGCAAGAATAATAGTAAACCCAAAAATAATAACTCATTGTGGTTCCATTTTTTACTCCAAAAAATGTCTATGTATAGTGGGTCTAATTGGGGATAATATATAATTTTATATGCAGCCCGCGGAGTTAGGATGCATTTCCAAAGTGGCTCGCAAGATCATTTGGATTGGCCACCTCCTCATCTAAACAAATTAATTAATTAACAATGGAAAAAAAAAAAAGGTAGGTTCGGGAAATTTTAAAATAAATATTAAAAAGAAAAAGAAGAAAAATTGTGAAACAATTAGTAATGCAAGGTAGCCTCGAATAAGATTTATTCTATTTCGTACAATTCGTATATAGACTTAAGTTGGATTTACCGCCCTACAGTCATTTTCTGCACACTTTGTACCGCTATGTAGGACACAACTTGCTATGTAGCCTGAAATATTGGGGCCTGATGGCCAATTGGCTAGCGCTCTGCCCTTTGGTACCCCCGGCTTCGGGTTCGAATCCTGGAAGTAGCATGGATGTTTGCGAATGTTCGGAATCCACTTTAAACTGTAGGTCCCAGTGTGCAGAAAATGACCGTAGAGAGGCAAACCAAACCTAAGGTTGCATACTTAAAATGCCTTCGTCAAAATTGTATTCGTGCGAGGTTTCAAATATCAGTATATTTCCTTAATGTTAAAACAGTTTGATCTCTCAACTGCTGGTATTAAAAAAGTCATTAATTGCTATAACAATTAAAACTTATAAAATTAGAGTGGTTAAAAATTATCAACATAATAAAAATCTAAACGTTTACATGGTTTAATAAAAATTATACAAAGCAATGGGCTTTAGCGGCTCTAATTTCCAGAAGTATCAATTTTTATACTTTTAAACACATAATACTTACTTAAGTCTAAAGTTACCATCATCACTTACGTCTTCGCTAAGCTTTTACGTTGGTTGGTACTCGTGAATTATGATGTTCAACTCTGAATACTGTGGGTTTAGAATAAGATAATAGAGTGACAGCCATGGATTTACAGAATATACAATACATAAGATAAAGATTTATGAGAAGATTTGGGATACATGTATCTAAAGTATGCTAAGTCTGAACATATTAAATGACTTAAGTCATATATTATAATATAGCATATTACATAAGCATTAAATGATACAGAAAGTACGTAAGATGCAGTATGAAGATCAAAGAAATTTCAATAAAGAAATATTATATTATTTTTTAAAAATAATTATGTAATAAATAATTAGTTATTTTAATTAATTAATAATAATTATTACTTACAATAAACTTTTCGTTTTGAATTCTTTGGAAAACGCTTCTTTTTTTAAAAAGTCATAAGCCTGCACAATACACCATTCTATCTTCATGAACCATTATGTTAATTTTGGAGATTTGAATGCATATTTGATAAAATATATCTGTAAAAATATTTGTATAATAAATAGTTTGAATAATTATAAAACGTGTATTACCAGTTACAGTAAATTGTTCATTGGTTTTGAATTGTTATGGAAAAGGTTTGCATTTCATAGAAGTCTTCAACTAAATACCATCCTATAATATAATGGCAATTTGTCAAAACTTGGCAACGTTGGACCTATATTTGGCGAGGTTTATGATTTTTGTCTTGATGAATACAATTCCCCTATATTCCATAATAAATAGTATTCGTCTTGGTGAGTATAATCACTACGAGTTCGAAGTAAATAGTATTCATCTTCATGAGTATAATCGCCATACGTTCTGTATATTATATTATGAGTGTAATATGTTCCATAGTCATTCGTTTTGATGAGTATAATCACAATATGTTCCATAGTAAACAGTATACGTCTTGATGAGTAATCATTATACATTTTATAATAAAATGTATTCATCTTGATAAGTATAATCGCCATACGTTATGTATATGGTATTATGGTATTCGTCTTGATGAGTGTAATCACCATACATTCCGTAGTAAATAGCATTCGTTTTGATGAATATAATCACAATACGTTCCATAGTAAACAGTATACGTTTTGATGAGCAAACATTATACATTCCATAATAAAATGTATTCGTCTTGATGGGGTATAATCGCCATATCGTACGTTTTGATGAGTAAACATCATTCCAGTAAAAAATGTACGTCTTGATGGGTTAATCAGCATACGTACCATCCTTTCCATAGTATACGCCTTGATTAATCAGCATGCTTTCCATGGTTTTAGGTGAGTAATAACCATACGTTCCATAGTAAATTGTATTCGTTTGATGAGTGTTATCATCATAAGTTCAATAGCAAATATTATTTATTTTGATTAGTTTAATTAATTATATTTATAAAGTCTCCGGTCTTACTTCATGCTTAAGATTATTGTTACATAAGTTATAGTTAACTTTATATATGTTTAGTATATATGTATAAAGCGTATGCGCATTGTGTATGCTCATTTAATACACATGTATAAGGTTTCTACTACACGTATAATATTAACTACCAATCTCCAACAATTTCTTTGAGGAGTGAGGGCCAATTGGCTAGTGCTCTGGCCTTTGGAACCACAGGCTTTTTAAGGTTCGAATCCTGCCAGTAGCATGGATGTTTGTGAGTGGTTCGAATCCACATTAAACTGTAGGTCCCGGTCTGATTAGCCTAAAGTATGCACAAAATGACCATAGAACGACAAACCAAATCAAAAGCTCCTTTTTGGTTTTCTAAAAAGTTCCTTTTTGGTTCCACTAAACTATATTTTTTAATATTTCATTTAAAAGAATTTTTGAAGCACAACAAATTTTCAAAGCTAAAAAAGAACTTTTTGCTAGAAAAGAATTTTTTAATCGATACAAAATATGCAGCTATTTAAATTCCGAACTATTTGCTCATGCCATTTAAGCAAGGCCTCTAGGAAGTTTTAAAAGGCCATTTATATTCTATTTGCACGCCAAGAGCATAAACTAAAGTGAGACTTGATATTTAGATTTATATTCAACACATTAAACCTTCAAGTAAAGTATCGATGCTGTTTATCTGACTGATAAATGCACGAAGAAATATTTTCGACAGCTGGAGTTATCATAGCGGGGACCACGCAAAAATTAAAAAAAAAAAAAACTCATTCTTTTTAAAATAAACCTTTTCAATATCTTGAAATAAAAATCTTTTTCATTCATGGGGTGGCAAGGGGTATTTTAGAAATTTAACATTTAATTTTTAGTATTTTAAAATAAACAATTAAAACCTTTTTATTTTTCCCTAATTAATTATATCCTTTTTTTAATAAAGCAAATAATGATTTCCTTAGATTACCCTTTGACAACTTTAACTGTGGCTGCGTTATTTACACTCAGAAGTTTTGCTAAGCAAATAAAAATAAAAAAAATACTTCATATACAAATTTGGGGCCTGATAGACGAGTGACTAGCGTTCTGGCGCTGGGTGCCACAGGGTTCGAGTCCCGGAGGTGCCACGGAGGCTTGTAATAGTTCTGAATCCCACTTTAAACTGTAGGTTCCGGTTTAATGTGACTGTAGAGAGTTGGGCGTTAACAATATCCCGTAAAAAGAAAACATCCCCTGTCTTGAAAACTGACTGTAAGCAGACGGCCTTGGCTCATAATGGGGCTGTTGTGCCAATGAAGAAGAAGACATACAAATTCATCAATGATTTCAGAAAGTATATAGTGATTGTAGAAAGTATTCGCACACTTTTATCTGTAACAAAAAAGGTACTTAAAGATGCTTAAAAAGTGTCCGAAATTTCAATCCTCAAAGTAAAAATTAAAAAAATTTAACTAAGGTACATATAACAATTTATTTATTTTACACTTTATTTTAATTGAAAGCTCATTAGATCACCGAAGTCAAGTCTCATTGGGCGCGGACAGTACTTGGGTGGGTGACCACCTGGGAACACCGCGTGCCGTTGGCATTCACAAATTTGGGACCTGAATGGCCGAGTGTCTAGCTCTGGCGCTCGGTGCCACAGGTTTCGGGTTCGAATCCCGGCGGTGCCATGGGTGTTGTAGTGGTTCGGAATCCACTTTAAGCCATAGGTCCCGGTCTCCTATGACTGTAAGAACGTCACAGAGCCAAAGTCAGACTTCTACCTACGGGTGCTCCATCACAACAGAAGCTGCTTCCTTCCCTTCAATCATGAGTACGTATGGGCTCGTGGGCTTGGCCAACATGGGCCAAGTGGGATAAGAAACAACAACAACAACAACAGAAATGAAACATTCACACATTTATACCAAAAAAGGTAAAATTACCTTTTTATCATACTGTGTAAAACAGATTCACGGAGTCAAAATAATATATAAATAATTAACAATTAATATTTAGTCATATCTCTTTTTTGTTTTTATTACAGCCTGCAGTCTTCGAGGCCTGGATTCGACACGTTTTGAGGTAATTGAATTCGAAATTAAAAGGGTCGAATATGAATCGAAAATAAGGTTCTTTTTTAAAAGTTGAACCTTTATTACTTTTGAAAACATGATTGAACTGTTGCCATGTTTCTAATTAAAACTTAAGGTCGGAAAATAATGATGATGTTGCCACCGGATAACACAAATATAGAAACACAACATAAATGGAATTACGTTTATCTTGAAGAGTAATTTTTAGATTAACTTAATCTTTCTTTGTTATCTAAAATTTGGCGTGGAATCGATATGAGCTTTTTAAATTTTGGTGTATGTAATACCTAGATCTTAATGTTTAGGTTCATTATCGTATATAAAAACGTGATCACAATTCGATACTATTTTGGTGCATTTTATTGTAAATTATACTTTCATATATTGATGCGCATATTATGATTCTTAATACTATCAATAATGACCAAATTACGATTATCTTCAGATTTGAAATATTTTCTACTACCACCATAATCTTGAAAAACATACTTTTCAGAATAGGCCTGAATGGTCGATTGTCTAGTGTTCTGCGGCTGGATACCACAGGTTTCGAATTCGAGTCCCGGTGGTGCCATGGATGTTTGTAGTGGTTCAGAATCCACTTTAAGCAGTATATACCGGTCTCATATGTCTGTTATAGCGTCACGAAGCCAAGTCAGACTTCTATCTACGGGTGCTCCATCACAACAGAAGTTGCCCTCTTTTCCTTCAACCATGAGTCCATACGGGTTCGTGGTCTTGGTCTAGATGTCTACCAAGTGGGATAAGAAATAACAACAACAAACTTTTCAGAATTATTCATTTCGTACTGTACTTATTGATAAATTTGATACCGGTTATTTACGTACACCGGTATTTTGGAACTGATTTGCAATTTTAAGAGCGCTAATCGTCGATACTTTTTTTTTTTTTCTTCAATTGACAGAAAATGAATCGGATATCGTAAGATGGAAGGTCCGATTGCCGATTGCTGCGTATTTGATGAAGTAACATTACAAAAAAAGAACCAAATCTTTTAGTTATTAACAGTAAGGCAAAACAAAATTTATAAATTGAAATTGGAAACTGGTTTATGTTTTACCTTCAATACAAAGTTGTAAATTTTGTTTCTTTTCAGAATTGAGTCTCCCGACCGTTTGCTTCCTTATTTTTAAACGTTATATGTACACATTTCACAAATTTCAAATTGAATTTTTGTTTAAGAATATGCACTAGAAAGCGCCTAAAACCATTTGACCAATGTTAAAACAAATGGTTTCTATGGCACTATTTTGCAGAAAAAGCCGAAAAATTAGAAAAGTGCAAAAAAAAGTGGAAACAGCGAAATTCACAGTTAACGTGAATTGCGGCATTGCTGTATACCAAAGTAACAAATGCTATTCATTAAATCTGCAAATAAACCAACCTCTTAGCCAGTTTCTGATCTTAATTCTAAGTTTAGCAGATATTGTACCATGGCTGACCTTTTCACAGAAGTGCATAATTCGTTTTCCTTTTTTACATCTTCAAACAAAGATAAAACCACTAACCGCCACATGAGTGATGTTCATCCTCGTGTCCAGTTAGTCTGTGGACAAGCCATTAACATCTGGCCTTTCGAAGACCTTAACTGCAAGTGCGGATATTTCCTTCAAATAAATTGCTTCCATTTTTAGCTCGGAAAATCGATTCCAGGTTGTTTTTAAAAAATAAAATCCTCCTTTTAAATTTTACATGTTTGGTGCGTGATGGCAGAGTGGCTAATGCTCTGGCGCTCGGTACCACAGGTTCTGGATTCGAGCCCCGGTGCAGCCATGGATGTTTGTGAGTGATTTGGAATCCCCCTGTAAACCGTAGGTTCCGGTCTAACAGGAACGTTGAGCATTGCGGGGTAGCGTTACTCCGTGTCTGTAGCTTATCTGCAAGCAATACGCACATCCTGGATAGTGCTAAGTGAGTAATAGCGGTGCAGCGCTTGTTTTCAGGTATAAAAAAAGACAAACTGTCTAAGTGTTTGCCGGTTGCATTAGAAAAAAAAAAAAATTACATGTTCTTATAATGTTTTCTGTTGCTTTTAACTGGAATGTGGGTCCCATTATTTGTCCTTTAAATAATTTTATTAATCTATTAAAAAAGCAGATATTTATTGATCTTTCAGAGTTTTTTCCCCCTTAATTCAACAAAGATCAAACCACTAACCGTCACATTAGTGCTGTCCATCATCGTGTCCAGTGGACAAGCCATTAACATCCGAGTTTTCGGAGACCTTAACTGCAACTGCGGATGTTACCTTCAACTAAATTGCTTCCATTTACAGATTTTTTTTTCAAAAATAAAATCATCCTTTTAAATTTACACGTTTTTTAATGTTTCTTACAGGAATGTAGGGCTTATTATTTGCCCTATAAGTAACTTTATTAATCTATTTAAAAACAAAACAGACATTTATTGACTTTTCAAAGTTTTTTCCCTTAATTCAACAAAGCTCAAGCCACTAACCACCCAAATCGGTGCTGTCCATCACTGTAATCAGTCCACGGACGAGCCCTTAACCTCGGAGGCTTTCGAAGAGACCTTGTTTGGCAAACCGCAGCTGCGCAACACAAAAGCCATAAAGCATCCACAAACGTCCATGTTTTTCCCTTTCGTATATTCTCGGCATGCTATGCATTTGTTAAAAAAGAAATATGGTCCGTGGACGATCGGACAATGCATCTCATCCGGATGACCCTGTTACAACACCTGTTGCCATTCCTGCTTGTGCAAAAATGTCGAAAAAGCGATCGGTAACGTCGCCGCATGTCACTTCCTGGTCATTGAAAGCGAGAACGGTTCGAAAAACAGTTGACACAGGAAGTTATATATTTTCTTTTTTTTTCCAGTCTCAATGGGAACTTGTAATCGCTCTTGTTAGGTGGAAAACAATGATTTGTTATGCAAAAATTCATATTCATCTCTGGGGGAATTGAATGCGTTTAAATTGTATTACTTATTCTAAATGTTGTTCTAATGCAGCTGGCAATACAGAGACAGTTAATCTTTATGTCATAAGGAAGGGCTGCACCGATGTTCGCTACCCAGGAGGCACGTGTAGCTTGGACATAGGCTACAGACGCGAGTAACAACTACCCCCGCAACGCTCTACGATCCTATTAGACCGGGACCTATGGATTCCGAACCAGTACAAATACCCATGGCACCGTGTGGAGCCGAGCACCAGAGAGATAGCCACTCGGCCACCTTGTACAAGAGTGTTCTTCCACCCACTGTCAATTGAAAATTGCATTTTATTGACTACTATCCATCGTTAGTGCCTTTAGACTGAGAAAAGATCACAAAAAGTGGACATTTCGTCAATCAATGATCTTGTTTACAGATGAAGATTGTTACAGTGTCACAAATGTCAGCTGATACTGTAGATCATCTACATCTACATATTTTTTTCTATTTTCAAAGACCATTTTCCTTATTCTAAATGTAATATGCCAATTGTCCTTTGAACTCTTGGCGATGGTGAAAGGTTCAATGGCAGAAGTGGCAAACTCTTTTGGGAAGAGTACCACTATCTGAAAAAAAAATTATCCTTGCCACTTCCAACTTTTGCAACATACTGAAAGATGCAAAAAAGACGAAAAAATGCTATATTTGTATTCATATAAGACTGAGTAGTGGAGGTTTAAAAAAAAATATAATATAATAAATAAAATTTTTTATTGTTAATAAACATTTTAAAAGGTACAATAGGCCTGATGGCCGAGTGACTAGAGGAAGGTACCACTAGTCACTCGGATTCACAAATTCCGAGCCACTGCAAACATCCATAGCACCGCCGGGACTCGAACCCGAAACCAGTGGCACTGAATTTATTACATCGGCCGATAAACGAACTCGGACCGCCCACGTGGGAGGCGAGCGACTCCATTTACCACTGAACCACCGATGCTACACGGAGTCGGACTATCTGGTGAGAGTTTTCCGGGTTTTCTTATGTATGATATGCAAATGCGTGGTAGTTCCTCCTAAAAAAAACCTCCCGGAAAGCACTGCCCTCCTTTTCAGCGACAAGGAGCTAAGTCAGACTTCTACCTATGGGTGCTCCAACACAACAGAAGCTGCTCCCTCCCCCTTTTTCTCTCCTTCCATGAATAGACTACTCATGGAATGTCCGTTCCGCACTGCAAGACACTGAGTATTAGACACATATTAGATATAGACCATAAATATTTGTTAAAAAATTATTATGCTTAATGTTTTTTTTTTTTCTTTCTAATGCAGCTGGCAAACACTTAAACAGCTTGGTCTATTATGCTTAATGTAGAATTTAGAATTATTTCTCGTGATGTAATACAATAATCGTGTCATATGTAATAACAATAAAATTAATAACAGCACGATGCATTCTATTAATTAAGTACGCACATAATACATGAGATGTTTTCGTAGCATGTAAGACATAAAGAATTATAACAAGAATTAGAGATAAATAATCGTTAGTAGTAGATGTGAAAGAATTATAAATGGTAGGCA